AATATTTACAATAGCAGACCGCAATGTAACTGCTAAACGAACCTTTAGAATTCTATTATGGATACTGTGTATTTGATTTCTGATAAATATATTGTTATACCATAATACCTATTCTATTGTAATAGACTCTCCCACAGATAATAAGTAGTAGCAGCAGTGGCCAGTTGGGCTCAGTGGTGTTGAGTGAGTCTGTCAACTAGATTGCTGCGTCATTAACTCTTATTTAAAGTTCCTAACGTTTTGTACGTCGAACCTAATTTAGGACGACTTATTGAAATACAAGCCTCCCCTGTGAAAACTACTTTATAACATTGGCGACGAGGTAATATGTCGTAATTCACACGGGGAAAGAAAAAATTTTCGTTACTCTACAACATATATGCATCAGCTCAAAGAATCAGTCGAATAATGACTTCTAAAACTAGCGGTTAATATATCCCAATTATTATTGATATTATAAAGCAAAGGTTATTAAAACAAGATATTTTTCAGTATTTATTTAAAATATTTGCTTTTAAAAATTATGTTCATTATCTGTAATTATAAATTTTAATCACGACATCATAATTCTTGGAGGTTCTATAACATGTTTAATGAGGTGAAACCAGAAATGACTGGCAAAATACATATAATGCCATTTCGTTGATTGATATGTAACCTAACATAATTTATACATATTTTGAAAAAATATCTTCAACGTTAAGAGAGGAAATATTTTCATAAATTTCATTCATTATCTAATGTCCATTTCGTCATTTCCTCTTTTACGCTAGCTACAAGAGTCATATGATATCAAGCAAATATTAAGACTATACAAATGACATTTAATAAAAGGTGGGACTACGTTTTTAAAGAATATATATATATATATATATATATATATATATATATATATATATATATATATATATATATATATAGGTAGGACCCATATCTTAATTTAAACATGTTGGGTGAATAATTTGGTTTGGACACATTATGCCTATTTCCTTTTAATCTAATCACAAGATAATATCAGGTGATAGTGGAAGTACTTGGAAAAAGAAAAATGAGAATGAAATAAAAAAAAAAAAAATGCGGCTCCTTCCTTAGTGAATTAATATAAACATTAATATGTCGATCAGAGAATTCCAGAGGATTAAAATAATATATATATATATATATATATATATATATATATATATATATATATATAATTCAACTCTAATACACATACGCACACACATACATATATATATATATATTATATGTACATATATATAGAGGATAAAGAGAAAGAGAAATATGTGAACTAACTGAAAATGAATTGGTCAGATATCAATACACTGGCATAGAGATATAGATCGATGATAGATGAGTTGGGATGAAATACAGATCAAATATCGATCAAATTCGACAGATATATGACAAATAGGAAACGTTTATCAATCTAACATGTTTCACTGTTATTAAAGCTTCCTCAGAGATATGAATAAAAAGAAGTAAATTCTAGCCTGTTTTGTAATATCTGATTTTCATTGTTCAATAATGAATCACTTTTCATCTCTTCGATACCAACGTTAGTATAATTCCTGGCATTTCGATATGACGCTTTTAAACAAAGTTTCAAGAAAATATAACTGATTCCAAGTCTACCTGAATAACGGTATTAAATGTATGTAATTGTATTAAAAAAAAATTCTCAAATTTTCTATTTGGTCTTCAGATGATAATGTATAATCGTAATTATGTTTGTTTATGTCAAGTAGACATTATGTTTGATGGTTATTCGTTTGTGATTTGGGATCATTTTTCCCTATATAGCGTTTGTTTTAGATAAACATACGTTAGATTCTTTAAGAAAGGATTCAATAAATATTGGCGATATGATTTTAACATGTTTTTATAGTTGGTAATGTTAATATTAGTCTATTAATATTAGTACATTCCCGTTATGCATTAATCCAGTAACCACTCAATGAATGTCATGAACCTTGTTTTTTATGAAACCATAAATTCTATTAGGTCTTCCTTAAATATGCATGTACTTTCGACGGGGTCTCCGGTCATCATCAGGCATGGGAAATATTTTCCTTTTGGTAAAAATCAGGTAACTTCCGAGATGAAAAAGTATAATGCTAATGAAAACCTTTTTTGTTTTTGTTTTTTTAGAAATGTGTTATTGTTAACATTGATATTTTTTTATTGTAGATATGATAGAGATAGTAGGCAGAGTAATATATCATGTTTTTATTTGTTGGGCATCTCAGGAGCTACCATTGTTTTGTTTTAAAATATGTTATGGGTCTTTTGTTTCGCATTAAATATAAAACATTTAGAATACTGGAAAAGTTTGAAAGTGCTTTCAAGTTTTTTTTTTTACTCTTCGTGTTAATACGACAGATGAATATTTGTAGAGGCCTTAGGTAGAATCCGATGATTATTCCAGATTTTATTTTGAAGAGAATTGAAATTGATAAACTCGTTTTTGTTGATTTTCGGTGGACACCTAGTTTTAAATTGTTGTTAGCGCGATGTAGTTTGATATCTAGGAAGCTTAAAGAACTGGGTCGTTCCATTTCATATGCCTGATTATCCTAAACAAAAGCATCTAAAACAAACAAAGATGAAGCTCTCTCTACCAACAGTTAAAAAAATATAAATCTACCGTTCATCACGAATCAATTCTACTTGACATATAGTAGCGATTGTTACAAACAGAAATTTGGATTACTAATGTGATCGCCTCTCAGTGGAGAGATGACATGTATCTTAGAATTTCTTCAATCCGGTTCTTTCAAAAATATTATGCACAAACAATCAACAGACTTCCTTTATAATAATGATGAACTAATTATATACTCATAATACTGATTTACTTGACAAGGTATATCAAGTAAAAAAATCTAAAATTCAGTGGAATTAACACCTTACATTTATTTTCCTGTGCCTTTTCTTCAAATATTTCCATGATATTCTTTTTCATATAAGCTCATCGTTATTGTACCTAGACTATTTGAATCTAAGCGAACTACGAGGCCAGCGACGAGGTCTGATCAATTTACAGTTGAATTGGCAAGATATATCCGTAACTACAATATAACAGTTTCTTTTCTTCACTTCTCGCTTGAGGAACTCTCTTCGGGCTCCATGCTTTTAACCAACTTCAAAAATTTAAATACAATGTCAATAGCTATCTACCGTCGTCCTGATTACTCTTCTTTTGTTCTCGATCCTTCGTAATATTTCTGTTTTTTTAATTTATCCAAGTGTGAACTGGATTAACAAAAAGTACTTTTTCACGGCTTTCACGAACCTAAATTTCGAAAGGCTTAGAGATTTCGTAGTAAAGGTTTTCACAAAAAAATCAGGGACGAAATATGAATGAATGGTTTTGGTATAATGAGAATTCCTCAAAACTCATAGAAGAACAGAATCAATATATCTATCTGATTCTGTTCTTCTATGAGAATCAGATCGATAGATAGATAATAACAGAATCAGATCGATATAGATTTTACAAATATTGTTTCGGCAGTTAATGTCTTGAGGAGTATTAGCGAAATGGATTATACCAACCAACTATAAGGTCAAATGATCCTGACACAAAGGGTTACGGCCGAACCTGAGTTATTAAGAAATAAATTCTTAGATGAAAGACGACAGGACAAAGAAAGTTTGTCCTCTATAAGACTGTGGTCCCTAGCAGCCGAAAACAAAGGAGCGTTTGCTGATTTGACAGCTGCCTCTCCCGTCATTAACAGATGGTTACAACCGAATAAAATTTGCCTACATTTAAAATCAAATAATGGTGAACTTCATGTGAAACACCCTGGCCAAAAAGTTAATGAAGCGGCAACTTGGTGTCTGCACTGAGCGGGAAAGCTAACTAGACAGATAGATAGACAGACAGGCAGAGAGATAGACAAACATAAATTATTTGATTGATTGACACACCATTAGAAATCTCCCATCTTCTAATATGAGCATTAATTTTTTTCTTCAATAAACAAAATAGCTACGACACTGAGAAAAAGATTAGTGAAATAATAAGCGTACACTAGCAAATAAGCACTTATTGGCATTGCAAATAGAAGGTGTTAATTAAATGCTGGAAGATGTATTTGGTACACATGAAACAACACACACACACACACACACACACACACATATATATATATTTATATTTCTCGAGACCGATAAAATTCGATTTCGCCTCGTCAGACATTGCGGTTTCAAAACTATAAGTGGATTCAAAAATTCTTCAAGGAATCTACTGAAAAAAAAACGAAATAAAAAACAAGGTTAACGGAAGTTTTGTTTTAAGAGAGTTACATACAGTAGGAAGTGGAGGAGGGATGTATATGTCTCTGAAATTTCCATGTCAGACCCCCAGATTTAAACCCAATGGAGAATCTGTGGCGTTATTTGAAAATTCAAATCCAATCTAGAGCTCCAAAAAACAACCCAGATCTGAAATTCAAAAAGAAAACAGAAAAAACAACAACTCCGGAAATAAAAAATAAAATGGGTACATATGTGTACACGCCTATATGTATGTATGTACGTGTATATGTTATTGTGTATGTGTGTATACGCATGTGTTTTTGAACATAAAAATATAGGGCCTTGCTAGATTAGATAATCGTTATATTTATTTTTTATATGTTTATATTAGACTTGTAACCTGTAGTCGATATTAATTTTGTCAAATTTTCTTAATTACACAGCGGCCCTTTTAATAAATGCCCATCAGTTTTAGTTCGCCCCACCCCATCTCTCTCTCCCCCACCTGTTTTTCTTTTGCTTTTTCTTTTCTTTTCCTCTCCCTCCCTCCTCATTGTAGACGCAAAAATGTATGGATATATATATATATATATATATATATATATATATATATATATATAAATTAAATATATATAAGGAAATAAAAAATACATAACAAAATTATTGATCGTACGAAAATATAGACAAATAACAGATGAGAGAGAATATAAATTTGCAGAGAGAGAAATTAAATA